TCTTCAAGACCATTTTCCTCCTCCCCTGGCACCTGGAGGCAGCAGGATCTCTCCCACCGGCGCGGCTCCGGGCCGCTTTCCGACGCGTCCATCCCCTTTGCCAGAGGTCTGGCTCCCTCACCGGGAGGGGAAAGTTAGAGGGGGAAGGTGTGGACAGAGAGAAATCTCCAGCTAAATCTAAATGCCTCGTCCTACTCATGCCTGGCTGCTGCAGAGAACCGGCAGCACTCACCTCAGCTTTGGCCCAGAAATTATCTTTATTGACTCTCTTGATTTCGGACATTGCATTCGTCTTCTGGTAGACCGAGCCCTGGGGGAGGCAGAAGGCGGCACGTGTGAGCAGGAGTCACTGAGCAATCTCAGGGTTTGTATTCCTCTGCAGAAATCAGAGTCCCGGCCTGGTTTGGGTGGGCAGGGACCCCACAGCCCACCCCGTGCCACCCCTGCCATGGGCAGGGACACCCTCCACTAGCCCAGGTTGACCAAAGCCCCATCCAACCCGGCCTTGAACACTGCCAGGGAGCCAGGGGCAGCCACAGCTTCTCTGGGCACCCTGTGCCAGGGCCTCAGCACCCTCACAGGGAAGGATTTCTGCCTCACATCTCATCTCCATCTCCCCTCCTGCAGCTTCAGGCCATTCCCCTTGGCCTGTCACTCCCTGCCCTTGTCACCAGCCCCTCTCCAGCTTTCCTGGAGCCCCTGCAGGGACTGGAAGGGGCTCTAAGGTCTCCCCGCAGCCTTCTCTTCTCCAGGCTGAACCAGCCCAACTCTCTCAGCCTGTCTCCATAGCAGAGGTGCTCCAGCCCTCACATCATCTCCGTGGCCTCCTCTGGCCTGGCTCCAACAGCTCCATGTCCTTCTTCTGCTGGGGACCCCCAAGCTGGATGCAGCACTGCAGGGGGGTCTCACCAGAGCGGAGCAGAGGGGCAGAACCCCCCTCGACCTGCTGCTCACGCTGCGGGTGGTGCAGCCCAGGACACGGTTGTGTCCCCGTGGCTTTCTGAGAGCTTCCTCCCGCTGCCACGGGAGCGGCCAGACCCTCTCTGCCTTCGGTGGCAGAGGACACCCAGCCCCACACAGCCAAGGGCCAGCAGGGCGGAAAGGGTCAGCGGAAGGTATTTAGCATGAAGAATTAGAAAAAAAAAGAGACGCTTAGTGATAGAATATAACAAAACCGGCCCAGTCCTGCGTTCAGCGGTCTGTGACCTTTTAGGAGTTACTATAACCCGATGCTTTGCCGCAGACTCGGGCTGAGGCCCGACAATGCGCGTTGCCACCAAAAACAGGGACTTCCAACCTGTTTTTCATCGTGCCTCAAGCACAAAGCTGGCGGCCCGCAGAGCCCCGGCTGGAGCAGCCAGCAAAGAAGTGACCAGGAGACGTGGGAACCCCGCAGCGATGCAGGGTCGGGGGGGGGGACAGCGAGGGTCCTGCACCGCTCAGGGTTGCTCTTCACCACATCTCAGAGCGGGGTCGAGCGATGCAGAGCTGGAGGGTGCGTGCAGCTGAGCTTCTCCTTTGCACAGCTCACAAACCTCGCTTGCCTGGCGTGTGTGTTGAAAAAAAAAAAAAAAAACCAAAAAAACCCCCCCCACCTTCCTACAGAACATTTCCACGTAGACGGAAAGGAAGTTGCTGAAATCTCTGACCTCGACGCTTCGCAGCGCCGGGGGAAGCCTTGGCTTGCGTTTGCAAGCAGGTGAAGATGCCGCTGCTTTGCAAGCAGGTGAAGACGCCGCTGCACCGACACGTCGCGTTCCCTGTCCCCCGGCTGCGCCACAGCCTGGGAGAAGCCCCAGGCCCCGCAGATCCTCTGCGCTTTGAGAGGCTGGAGCTTTTATGTCTCTAAAAACCTGAACAGAACCGGGGGGAATCAGTCCTGCTTAAAAAAATGGTTCGGCCTACGGAGAAGAGAGCTTCGGCCGTTTGCTGCAAGGACATCCCGGCTCTGCCACCGCCCCCTGCTCTTGCCCTGATTTGCTCCGTAACGAGCCGGAGAGAGGGACCGGCCCTGGGTAAAACCGTCGGTGATGCTCAGGAACCCCTTCCGCTGCAGGGCGACGGCGGTCCCGGACTCTGCCCCTGCCCGACTGCGAGCCCAGAGGGACCAGAAATTCCCCCCCCACGGTGCAAACTCACCACGGGAGCTTGAGGGCCCGAGTCCTGGAACTTGCTGCTCTCCTTGTGGAAGTTGTAGTTGGCCCCGGAGGCCTTGGCAACCTTCTCCATGATGAGTTCAGGCTCCACGTCCTCCTCCGCACGAGCGTTGATGGTGACGTGAGCCCCCTGAGCAGGGAGAAAGCCGGCGCGGGAGTGAGAAGGCGACTCTAGAAGCCCCTAAACCCACCACCACGTGGCTTTGCCAGGTCCCGTCTACGCTCCCGCAGCTCCCACGGGAAGGAGAAGGGCTCAGGCGACAAAGGGAGGTCACCGGCCACTCTAAGGCAACACTGGGAAGGCAAACGCTCAGCGAGAGGCTTGCTTTGCCTCCTCTGCAGTCTCCAGAGCTATTTTTCAACTGCGAGAGGTTTGTGTCGCGAATCAGCCCCTGGGTCCCACGACGCCGGGAGCATCGAGCGGC